ATTACGCCATGGATGCACGCATATAGCAGAATGGAATGAATTGACCCGTGTAACACTCAAAAAAATAGTTGACGAACCAAACAATCAGTCGCTTGATTTTCAGCAGGTAAATTATACGTGTAAACAATGCAATCGATAAGTGCGTATCATGCATTTAATTGGCCAGTGTTATAACATCGTATTCTATTTATTTCAAAATAGCTAACTGCGGAATACCCGACGATATTAACCCCTGAGAATATTTGGATAATTGGAATCACTCGGGAGCCATCTGCTCGGGAATATTATTTAGTTTTCTATTACGATGTATATGCAATACTGGACAGGTTTATACGAAATAACGAAGATGTAATGCACCTGCAATATAGCGACTTTTATGAACTCAAAGAGATTGGAGCTGGTGGTTATGGAACAGTTTATACTGCCAATTATGAAAAGTATTCAGAAATAGAGGAGATGGAGGAGAAAACTGTTGTACTCAAACGGTTTAAAAATTTTGATGAAATTCCGGAATTATTTATTTCCGAGGTAAGCAATGATTGGTATTATTAATTAATTGATATTTAAGCTGACTCTATGTATTATTTATTTAATAGTTCAGAAACCATGCCAAGTGCTCAAGTTATTATTTATTCCTTCAAATGTATGGAGTGACACAAGATCCGGAGACAAAAGAGTACATGATTGTTATGCAATATGCTAACAATGGTAGTCTTTTGTCCTATTTGGTTCAAAATATTAACAAATTGACGTGGTTGGATAAATTACAGCATTTGAAGGAAATTGCATATTATCTGCGTCTTATTCATGAAGCGGGATTAGTGCATTGTGATCTTCATGGTGGAAACATTGTTATGCATAATGACAACTCATCAGAGATGCAATCATTGATATGCGATCTTGGTCTTTCACAATCAGTGAATTCACGCAAGTCAAATTCAACCATTCGAGGCGTTTTGCCATTTATTGCACCGGAAGTCTTCCATACCTGCAAATTTACTCAGAAATCGGATGTGTATTCATTTGGTATCATTATGTATTTGATTGCTACTGGTGAACCACCATTTAGAGATTGGTCGTTTGACAAATGTTTGGCGATACGTGTTTGTGAGGGACTGCGACCGTCGATGCCTGATTTTGCGCCAGAGGAATACAAGAAACTTGCCGAGCGGTGTTGTGATGCTGATCCTGATAAGCGTCCTAATGCAAGGACACTTTTTAGCAATATTAGACATCTTATTAACGAGGTGGAAAGCGACACTTCTGGTGATAACGTGTGGAATACTATATATCATAATGATGTAAAGCCATTATCACGTCTCGAGAAGGAGAGTAAATATTCCAGCACACTTTTATCTTCTGGTGCTTTGCCTAAACCGAGAAATAGTAATGATTGGGATTCAGCTGCAGGTACGATTAAATGTTGATACAAATAAAGTTAATTTACATATTGCAATGTTAACACTTCTATTTCTTATACTTTAGCAACTCAAACTCTTTTTGAATAAACTCGTAATTTACGACTTGTTACAGTTTCTCTAATCCCTTAAACTCTTCTAAAATAGTTCTTAATTTTTCCATTCTTTCTGAACTAGTTTATTATATGAATTTTATTCAAAGGTTCGAATAATTACAAAGTGCTTCTACATATGTCAACATGGACAAGTTAACAAGACGTTGAAATAAGTTATGCATGTTTACCATTAGCTGCCTTTTCCGGGCAGGTATTAATAAATATAAGAAAGTTATTAATATTGAGAACCAATTTTTTAAAGTTTATGAATAAATACGTAGTTATGTTTGCCTGGACAATAAACTTATTTTCAATTTGAGCACCGGCCGGCTGATGCGTCGGCCAATAATGTAATGCTACTGGATAGTGCTATTTACGCAAGACTTCGATAGACGTGATAACACACTCCATGCCTAGAATGCAGGTAGGAACTCTGGGAATGCGATAGAACAGGAAATTTGACACTCCTGTAAGAATTACATTCTACACTGCTTGGTTATGCATAACAATAACCATAGAATTTTTAAAAAACTTATCAAAATTTTTTGGTACAATGTTGAATTGGAAAACGAAACAATTAAATATATATTATTGACATATTGGGGGGTTAAAGTCTACAACTACCAGTTAACGTTCCAAAGATTGCCGCTTAATATAGTTGGGTATCCCGTGTTGTAGTATAAACGTTTATGCACAAATCGTCGTCAATTGTTAACAGCATTCATATACAGACAATTCTTTACGACCAGTTCTACAAGTAATAACAACAATCTACCAAAGTTAATTCCTAAAACAACTAACTATAAAACTTGTATCGTCACGTTTATTGTTAAGATTTGAACGTCGAGCACATAAAAATTCTCCCTAGAATCTGTTAAGAATCTAAATATAAATAATAATATATATAGTTGTTATGGTCCGCCTAGTCCATAATCTCATTCCAGCAGTGTCCCCGCGCAAGAGCAGTCGCACAATCGCTACCAAGAAATCCTTTGTACTTGTGCTCTTTCTTGCAATCTGTAAAATATCCATTATAATCCATACAGGTGTTTTTATTCTCTGGACACCGATTTGAATAAATATTAAACTTGTCGCTGCAATTTACACCTCCGTGGTTTGCAATACAGCCTATTTCGCCGTCGCTGCGTTTATAATGTGAATGATCGTGATGGTGGTCAAGGCTCCTGTATCCAAAGTCGTACACGAAAACTTTGCCTATTCGATGTGTTGGACGGGCCTTGTTTGCGAGGTAGATGATACCGTCTCTGATACTGTTGCTGTGGATGCCACGAATGTGATCTGTTTGTTTCCGACCAAGCACTACGCAATCGTTATCAGCGTCGTTGATTTCAAATTCACCAAGTTCGTTAGCTTCGATCATGGATCCTTGATGATTGATTAAGCACCCGCAACCGGGCATCGAACCCTGGTTATAGAAATGAGAATCGAATTTCTGCAGCTCGGTATAGTATCTGAAGTAGTGATCTTCAAACGCGTCAATCTCCTCAAATGGAATTTTGATTTTCATGTAACCGATCAACTTGACAGTCTCGTTGTGTAGCTTGTAGTTCAGGTTGTTGATATAGCATTCTTCAAAGTACTCACGCTTTACAATGTTATGGGACGGTCGTGGTCGAGCTTGGACGGTGATCCAGAGCAAGGCTGAAGCTCCAAGATAGAAGATCCAATTAAAAAATAACATGTTGTTAAGCAGTATCAGAGTTTAGAGTAAAGAGTTGTTAGAGGCTGGCACTTTACATAGACTGTCTGCTCCGGTTTGAGATTTTTTATACTTAATTTACGTTTACTACAGCTAACGTCATGTACAATAATGAAATCATTTTATATTTCTCAAAATGGTTAAGAATTTTGCCATCGCTGTTCCTCATTTGGATTTACAACGCGAAAACAAATGCATAGTAACAATGCATAGCACGCTTCTGTTGAACGAAAATAAAATTCCACCAAAGTTTTAGCTTATTATAGTCGTCCCTCGTTTATATCCCTACTTCGGGACAGAGACTATACTGAAGTGTGGAATATATTATATATACATTTTTAGTTTAGTCATATACTCTGTTAATGAAGTTTGGCGCTCTAACTTTTCTGCTGACTCATCTTGAATAATGAATTACATCATGCCAAGTATCTCCTATCTTGGCTTTTAGCTGCGCATCATATCAGATTAAAAATCAAGGCCGCTTTTCGGTCGAATTATGGTAAGATACATTTATACGGAACCTACTTATGCCAAACTCTGGATATAGCGAACCGATTTGCCAGAACCAATTTTCGTAATTAAAGCCTAGCCTATAATGAACTTTCATTAGCAATCTGTCCCAAACTCAACTTTCGAATTTTTTTATATTAAGTCTCTTCGTATAACGTAAACACAACTATATTGGGTGACGAATAACCATTTTAGGGTATCAAAAGACACAAATATGATATTCTACAAAGCATAGTGTTAATATTATGGTTGATGACGAAGCGAAAATTCTAAAATTAAACAGACAATCAGACTAGGTATTCAAAGAAAAAGATTCTTAAAGAACCAAGTCTCCACTACTATTTTGAGGACAACATGGGTTGAGTAGCGCACACCTCTTTATCTCGTAAAGCTTGATCTTTTTGATAAGTTTGTATTTATCATTATTGGAGGAATGAGCAAATCTCTACTTTCGCAATTAAATTACGTTTACGTGATTCTCTGGTAATGGTTATAACGAGTAAAATTCTTCGGCCAGGCAGTTTGGTATAAACACAGTCAACTGTAACATGTTATGGTGTGCTAAAAGAACACTGCCCTCATGTCTATCAGACAAATGTTACACCACATGCGGAACTGCCATCACTAAATAACACCAGAAGAAAGTTTTACCGCGCAAAGCATTTGATAAAATTCTCATTACCTATCAGACACAGTGTTATACCACACCCAGATCAGTCATCACTTTCACCGTATAGTAATAGTAAATTTATTTACCACATTATCAATCACATAAAAACACCGTAACTAAAATTGTTTGTTTGAGATTTTAATTTTGTACATAAACATCTACCAAATATATTTAAATTTGTGCAGGTGTAATAACAACTTTTTCAGATTTTAGTTACGGAGTCACTTTGTATGTAGATTGCATGCAAAAAATATTATGTCAATATTACGATGTTGTCTTTAAGAAATGTCAATGGTTCGTGGTACGTTCAGCTGATTTTGTTAATTGGTACCTTTGAACTTACCATGTAGCATTTTTGCCACTGTTATTATCTTCTCTCCTACGTTAGTGAATTAAATTTTTACCGTGTTAGTAAAATATTTACTAAAATATTTGCTTCTATTGTCACAAACAGTTTTTTTTTTCGACCGAGACAATTTGCAAGGAGAATAACAATTTCGACATACAATCGAATGATCGAAAAATTATTATGAAACGCCCGCTTAGAACAAGAACTAGTATCCCAACGAATACCTTATGAATATTAGGCTCTTTCAAATTTATTGAACGGTTCGTAAACACACTCGCATGAAGAACATAAAAACCGGCATAAACAACGCACATAAACTAATGCGCATAAAAATCTCAGATTAAAAGCGGTAGTAATAACTCAATAATTTATCCACAATAATGACGATAACAGAAGTATTGTACTTATAACTTGTTATGGACAAACATACAAAACTTGTACTCTTAGCTACATGTTCGTCTTTTATTAGTAGCTACGAATTGAACGTTAAGTGTCAAATCATTCACACATAAAAGAATAATGCTGGTTTTGAAGTAAGAAAAGTGCATGCAGTTGTCCGTAAACCCCTGAAGCAATGAAACAAGCCAGAGGCACCGATTCTTTCGCTAAAGCAATCTCTGTTAGCCTCACACAAATTTACTCATATATTTGCATCCTTTTTTTCTTTTCCATAAAGCATTTCAAATAAACGTTAGGTTACCTGTAATAAACTGTATGTTTGTCCTATGAAATATTCAAACGCACATTATAGTCATATTTGCGATACATTTTCTATTTAAGCTGTCACAATTAACATTCTTTACAATTGATTAGCAGTATTACTAGAATGTTTTATACTTTCATTTATCTCAATTTCTCAATTTGGAATGGCACCTCCCGTTGTCCCAATCAAACTGTACACTCGCATAATTACGTAAATTAGGATACCATCCATTCCAACCATCAAACCTTTCCAATCCATCAAGCCATTACAGTAAACTACCCAATATCAAGATTTGAGTTCTAGCGTAAAGGGGCGAAGCCCTTCTTCACTCAAGGTCTGGTTTTAGAAAATTAACACCAAGTAAACTTGACATTTTCAATATGGAATAAACAAACGCTACAAAAAAATTAGCGCTCGTAATGTGTGCAAATTCTTTGATTTTTAACATTTTGTATGTTTATTATTAGTATTAGTGCTCAATTTTTAATAACCTCCATAGTAAGCCTTTGATCGCCGACAGCTTCAAATTTAAACTCGCTCTGAAAGAGAACAGGTAAATTGTAACAAAATATGCTCGATTCATTTACTAACAATCTAATAGCTCTGTCTGTTAAAAAATTTTATCCATGTACACAATGATCAGCAAATGATCAGCGAAGGATCAGCGAAGGATCGACAAAGGATCGGCAAAAAAAAAAACTTTCATGTTTAGTATGGAATCTAATATGGGTGGGGTTTGTAACACTATGGATATCGTACCAGCCTGGTGATTTCTGTTGGTAGTACGGGCAATCTCCAATACAGTGAAACTTGATGCATGACAAGATAATTCGGCCGATAATTCACTTTTCTGGAAATAGATATCAATCTCTCATACAGCCGAACAAAGGATATTTAAGCAGCGCGATTTCCCCATTCCGCTTCATCTTATTATTTGAATCCTTTAACGATAATAATATTCTTACAATTGTTCTCTAATAAAGCCTCTGACCGATAATTATATTATATCTGCTGTGTGTGCTTAATAGAAGGGTTGAGTCTAAACCGCTACTTGGACTCTTTGTAATCGCATATTTGAACTTGCCATTACTTAGCTAGTACCTCGGCAGGAGTCAACTGCCAGAAACGCGTTATACCGAAAACTTTCCCCGTACGATAGACAGTATGTCTTACTCCAACGAATTACAATAGTACCTATTCTCGAGGAATTAAATAGTTCCCCTACAAGAAGTCATACTCTACGAATACGGATTCGTAAGTATTGTAAACCTGTTTAAAGGTCGCTAATTGTCTAGAGTAAAGAGTGAGTAGCAGCAGTACGAAAGTCTGAGTGGAATTTTGCATCAATAGGAACTTTGCTAAAAGACGCTAAATCGCAAGGTTGTCACACGAGCGCTTTCTACCGATATTATCAATAAACGGCACACACCAATTAATCAAAGTTTCTAAAGACAACATATAATAACCATGGCTTCTGCCAGCTTTGAAGATGAACAAAAAAAATTGTTTCAAGACGTAGTTTATTTCATAACATACTACAAAGAGGCTAAACATGGACATGCTGACGCACAATTCAATCTCGGCTTGTGTTACGAGAATGGAATCGGAGTGGAAAAAAATGAACAAGAAGCAGTTGAATGGTATACAAAAGCAGCTAAACAAGGACATGCTGATGCACAATACAATCTCGGCTTGTGTTATTATGATGGAACTGGAATAAAAAAGAATGAACAAAAGGCAGTTGAATGGTATCAAAAAGCAGCTGAACAAGGAAATGTTGATGCACAATTTAACCTTGCTTTGTGCTATTATTTTGGAGAGCAAAGGGACGAACAAAAAGCATTTAAATGGTATAAAAAAGCTGCAAAAAATGGTGATGTTCAAGCACAAAATAATCTTGCCCTTCATTACTATTATGGGGTTGGAGTAAAAAGTAATGAGCAAAAGGCAGTTAAATGGTGTCAGAAAGCAGCTGATCAAGGACATGCTTATGCACAGAATAATCTTGGTCACTACTTTAAAAGTAGTCTTAGATCAGAAATAAATCATGAAAAAGCATTTGAGTTATTTCAGAAAGCTGCTGAGAATGGAAATTCTTATGGTCAATACAATCTAGGTCAGTGCTATGAGAAGGGACTTGGAGTAATCAAAGACATAAAAAAAGCTATTGAATTGTATAAAAAAGCTGTCAGTCAGGGAAATGCATTTGCACAAGCTCATCTTGGTAAATGTTACCAAAATGGAATTGGAGTAGAAAAAGATATTCAAAAAGCTGTTCAGCTGTTCCAAAAAGCTGCTGAACAAGGGCATGCATATGGACAATATAATCTTGGTTGTTGCTACGAAAATGGAATTGGAATAGAGGAAAATGAACGTAAAGCGATTGAGCTATATGAAAAGGCTGCTGAACAAGGCTATATTAAAGCACAAAATAAAATTTATATTTTGCAACGTGTTGATAAATCTACGCTAAAAAGAAAAATTGAAGAATTACATGAAAAGTATCCAAAAAGAATTAAAGTAGTGATAAATTAATTATTAACTTAAAGTAATTATTATCGGGAATTTAAGCTTTTTGTAAACGGAAGAGATAAAAATTTGGTAATTTTGTCAATAAATTTAATTTATAAATTAAATAATAATAATATTTGCCAGCTAATAAATGTCACGGCGGGCTTTTGGGGTCAATATCAAGGAGAAAAAGGTTTTTGAATAATTAAAAAATAAATTTGGAGTTACTGGGTGCAAAG